CTTCCCTCTTTTCTCTTCTCTCCTTCCCTCTCCTCTCTTCTCTCCTTCCCTCTCCTCTCTTCTCTCCTTCCCTCTCCTCTCCCCTCTTTCTCTCTCTCTCACCCATTATAGTTGCTGCAAAGCTTTGCCTATCGGAGTTCCTCGTTAACCCGTCTGCTTTGAAGTTTGTCCCCTGCCGCGCTGCCCGGCCGACCCCGTAGCCAGACAGGGGCTGAAATATTGCGACTCCCCTGTTATTAATCGCGGCGGCCACCTCCGTATATTTTCTGACTTTCCCGATGAAACGTTTTATTTATTTATTTTTTTCCCGGTAGCACTTCGCGAGAGTGAAAATTTACTTTCATGTAGCAGTTTCCCAGGATGATAAATGTTGGTTTTATTCAGCGCCGAGACTTGCCCGGCTCCTGTTCCAGATATTAAATAAAATAAAGAAGAAAAATCAGCCGTCCTCCCGGGGGATCTGGAGTGCGGACGCGGATGGCGTGATACACTTACATCTAAATTCGCGGAGATAAAAGACCGGAGATTCATTGCGACAGCTGAACATGTTGTTGGTGTGGCGCGCACATTAAATTACAACACTTGCCTTTCCTTGTATTGTTTGATTGTAACCGTCTCGCTCGCTGCCTTTGAAATATAGAATGCGCTTCTGCAGGCTCGCTCTTCCTTGCTCTACGAATGATGACTTTCTCCCGCTGCAGGTGAAGACGTCTGCTCTGGAAGTGAGATAATGGAAGGAATGACATTAAACGGAGGCTATCACCAAAAATTCAAAGTTAAAGGAGAACTACGAGGTGAGTGATCTTCACTCCTCCTCATAGTTAGAGCCGACATTGAAATGTTCACACGTCGGCTCTATAGATCTGGAAGTGAGGGAACACATACCGTTGCTCGCTCACTTCCCGATCATCTCCCTGCAGAGAGAGGTGAGTGTCGGTGACCGCTCCCCACAGGGATTCTCTCCTTCTCCGATCCTCCAGTACTGATTGGAGGAACGGAAGGGGGTGGGCACAGCTGGCTCTGCCTCTAGATAGGTAGAGCCCGCTGTCAATCAGCCAGCCGGGTGGATTTTGACAGTATTCCCGGCTGCGGCGCTCTCGGTATATCACTGGCAATAGCCCGATATATACTGAGCTTTGGGTCACAGGAGGAGGTTAGTATATGTCCTCCCGTGACTAGGGCCGGATTTACTCTCTCTGCTGCCCCAAGGCCAGGTTCCTCAAGGCGCCCCCCTCCCCGCCAATCCCCCACATGGAGAATGGCAGACCTGAAGGCTGCATACAAGTGATCTCGGTGACATCACCAGGATCACTTGTACAAAAAAAGTGGCGGCTTCCCCCGCTGTACATTTAGCTCTACTTGCCCAAGTAAAAGATGTGGATCCGCGCTTTATGGGTAGCCCTGATTTAATATCCTGATATTAAAGCAGCTGCGCTCTCAACCCTGGGGTCAAAATAGTTAAAGTGTGTAAATTGTGCACAGCGTCTCACTCGTCTGCTACTTCCAAAGCCGGGCTAAATGTAGAAAACAACTACCCGCCCGGCACCCAGAACTGCATGTCCCGGGCATTGGGAGATGGGAATTCCACACACCTGCTGCCCCTCTACTCCCTGCTGCCCCAAGGCCGGGCCTCGGTTGGCCTTGTGGGAAATCCGGCCCTGCCCGTGAGAACTATGGGATAAAAAAGGTTTTTAAAGCTAAACTCCGAGCAGATATAAAAGACACATTACAAACCAGCTCTGCGTTCATCAATACATCATTAAATGTATTTTTGTAATGCAAATCATTCAGGTACCTGAATTTGGGTTGGTATCTTCCTCTTGCAGCTCATGTTCAGCACTGAGACTGGGAGAAGGAGCATGAGTGGCTTAGTGGGTAACACCTTTGCCTTGCGGTACTGCCGGTCCCCGGTTCAATTCCCAGTCAGGACACTATCAGTAAGGGCATTGCATGCTTGCGGGGGGTTTCCTCCGGGTACCCCACTTTCCTCCCACACTTCAAAGGCATGCTGGTAGGTTCATTGACTCCGGTCTAAATCGAGCCTGTATGCATGTAAGATAGGGATCTTAGGTTGTAAGCTCCTCAAGGGCGGGGACTGATCCAAATTGGCAATATGTAAAGTACTGCGTCAATTGTCAGTGCTATATAAATACTAATCATAATAATAAATACAGGTGAAACTCGGAAAATTAGAATATCGTGCAAAAGTTCATTTATTTCACTAATGCAACTTAGCCGTCTACCAGGAGATTTTGGAGCACTTCATGCTTTCTTCCACAGATGCTGGGGGATGCTGACTTCATTTTCCAGCAGGACTTGGCACCTGCCCACACTGACAAAAAATTTCTGAAATTGTGGATCTGGGTTTTCATGAGCTGTAAGCCATAATCATCACAATGATGACAAATCACGGCTTGAATTATCTTGCTTTGCATGTAATGAGTCTCTCTCATATATTAGTTTCACCTTTTAAGTTGCATTAGTGAAATAAATTAACTTTTGCACGATATTCTAATTTTTCGAGTTTCACCTGTATATAATAATACATAAAACACATAGATGAAGACCACCTTTCACAGTCCCTATTGGTTTTTTCATGTAAACTAATAAGTGACATTACACAGCAGGACAGCTGACAATGTAAACAGGTATACCCAGCTATGCAACAGGTAACCTGTAATAATAGTAATCTTGTATTTTTACAATCAGTTTCTTTGAGTTTTGCAGTTAGCAAAAACCAGTGGCATTAAAAAATAAATTAATAAAAAAATAAAACAAAATTGCAGAATATTATCTTCCAGTTTGTAAATGATCTGTGATATTTTCTACAACAAGATGTGAAATTATTGGCTGCCTTCATTAGGAAGCCATTTCAATGAACTGTAATGATTAGATGTTGTTGTATGAGTGTTGTGGGGGCCCATTAGAGTGTCAGATGCGTAATTAAATCTTTTTTGGCTTTTTTTTTTTGTGTGGATATCATTAGCACAGGCCGGGGGGCTGCATTTGTGCCCGCTACCCCTCAAGGCCAACTGCCTAGTGCCATCTCTAAAGGCCATTGTTTTTAATTGTTTAATTTTTTACAGCCACCCTGGACACTTCTATCTGCATACAGAAATGGTTTAAACAGACACATTTTATATTATTATTGTTAACTTTATGCTAGATTTAATTTGTAACTCGTTTTACAGTTGGCACTGAACTGTCTTTGCTAATGAATATCAGACACAGTTGATGGCGGGGTGTGCAAAGGTACTTCTCCTCTGCGTATGTCCCCCACAATTGTATGCTGGATACACATTGCTGGCATTCACTGATGCCAAGGCTACATGCCTAGGCTGGGGTTGAGCAGGTACATCTCTGCACCTTTGCAGCCAGGGGCACCTGAGTGTTCCGGTTTTTCTACTGAGTGCACCAGATCTTCTTAAAGAGTTCCCTAGATATCTTGCTGAGTGCCCCAGGTCTTCTGCCGAGAGTGTGCCCGGTCTTCTGCCGAGAGTGTGCCCGGTCTTCTGCCGAGAGTGTGCCCGGTCTTCTGCCGAGTGTGCCCGGTCTTCTGCCGACTGTGCCCGGTCTTCTGCCGAGTGTGCCCCAGGTCTTCTGCTGAGTGTGCCCCAGGTCTTCTGCTGAGTGTGCCCCAGGTCTTCTGCCGAGTGTGCCCGGTCTTCTGCCGAGTGTGCCCGGTCTTCTGCCGAGTGTGCCCGGTCTTCTGCCGAGTGTGCCCCAGGTCTTCTGCCGAGTGTGCCCCAGGTCTTCTGCCGAGTGTGCCCCAGGTCTTCTGCCGACTGTGCCCCAGGTCTTCTGCCGAGTGTGCCCCAGGTCTTCTGCCGAGTGTGCCCCAGGTCTTCTGCCGAGTGTCCCTGGTCTTTAACTGAGTAGACTGCTGCATTCGTTTTCGTCCAAATGTCAGTCAGCAAATTGTGAAATTCGATTGCATCAGAATTTCCCAATGGGAAAATAACTTAATAACTAAATAACTAAAATTTTTATAACGAATATTCGGAGGCATGCAAATTTGCCCTCCCTGCTGCTCCATACCTGGCCACTTGCCCTCAACATGGGGGGGACAAGGGCCTCTTCCCCACAGCCCTGGCCCGCTGGTTGTGGGGGTCCGCAGGCAGGGGAGCTTATCTGAATCTGGGTGCACCCTTTTATAAAGTTACCACCACTTATATATATATAATTTCTAGTGCAATATAAATGGGTAAGCCGTATTAGTCCAGTAGACAAGACGTCAAAAAAAAACAAAAACGTAGTTTTGCAGTGTGCAATGATACCTTTCTTATTGGACACTGTATTGCTTCTGACCTGAAGAAGAGAGGTTCACTCTCGAAAGCTTGTCTTTTATATATTTTGTTAGTCCAATAAGAAAGGTATCATCGCACACTGCAATACTGCGTTTTGTTTTTTTTGACGTCATATATATATATATTGTATATTTCATATAAAAGAGATAGCTGTCTGACTTCATATGCACAAGGCACTCTAGAAGTCCTGTATGGGCTTTCCTTTCCCATTATTTCTATTACATTTTCTGCACCAGGGATTATATGGCTAACAGGGAACAAAAGTTCTTAAAGGAGAACTATGAGGGGGGGGGGTATTACCCTAAGGAGAACTATGGGGAAAAGCCCTAAGCCCATAGCTCTCCTTTAATTTTCAGAAATAAGACATACTTCGATAAGAAAAGGTGACCGTACCTGCTGAACTTCGAGATCATGTATTATAAATGTGGTGTATTCAAATAAAATATGGGGACAATGGCAAAAAAATGGTCAGAAAAAGTCACCAAGTGGCAAACTGGAAGAGTGATGAACAAAACCAATGAGCCATCGAACATGTTTCTGTCAACAGGACAAACAAATGGAAAAGTTTTAATGAAGGATGAATGTTACCAAAAGGTGACTACAGCTAACTGACTCTTAGAAATGTCCCACAGAAGAAGGTATGAGCTCTGTACACTGTCCTCCATTTGATAAACATTTCTATCTTTTCACCAGGTGGCAGCGAGTCCTCGTGGGATAAGGAGAAGCTTCAGTCTCCGATCACCGGCAGTGGTACCCAACACGGACTGGGACACATCACGCTATCCGGACAGTCCAGCATTGGGGGAGCCCATCCGTTAAGTCCTCTCCAGCAAAGTCACCTGCTAGCTAACAGTAAGTATTGCGAAGAAATCCCGCGACTGGGGTGGAGGTTCTGTCATTGGTCAGGGATGTAAGGGGCAACTATGAGAGGATATAACTCCATTATCAGTCATTCCTGAATATAGGAAGTTCCTGTTATTAACTGGAGCTCAGAGAGGGGAGCGGGGGAGCTCGCTATCCAACGGAATTGCATTGGAACTGGGAAGGAGTCCAGAAACCCTTTAACCAGTTGACCTGACCATAGAAAAGGTGACATTCTCCCCACTATAAAATAACAAATGGAGAAGGATTTGGGGGTCATTGTAGACCACAAACTGAAAGGTAGTTTGCAGTGCCAGGCTGCTGTAAACAAAGCTAGCAGGGTCTTGTCCTGTATTAAAAAGGGGATGTATTGCAGGGACAAGTCTATAATTTTGCCACTTTATAGATCATTGGTTCGACCTCATCTGGAGTACGCGGTCCAGTTCTGGTCACCAGTACTAAGAAAAGATGTCCTTGAGTTGGAAAAAGTCCAGCGGAGGGCAACCAAACTAATTAGGGGTATGGAGGACCAGAGCTACGAGACAAGGCTACTAAATTTAAACATGTTCACATTGGAGGTGAGGAGATTAAGGGGGGATATGATCTCCATGTACAAAATGTTCAATGGTGGTAGCAACATTAGCGATAAACTGTTTAAAATTAACTCCATTACAAAAACTAGAGGCCACCACCTAAAATTGGTGGAAAAAAAATTCCAGCACAAGGGGCGAAGGGGGTTCTTCACAGTAAGATCAGTTAGGGTCTGGAACTCACTGCCACAGGCGGCGATTTCAGCAAATAATGTGGAATTGTTCAAGAAACTTTTGGACGATTTCTTAAGGGACCTTAATATACAGGGGTACCGGTAATATACAGGGGTACAGGTACTCCTAGAATGAGATCCTAATAGGTTGGACTTGATGGACTAATGTCTTTATTCAACCTCAAATACTATGTAACAAATGTATTAAATATGAGGGCAAGTCAGAAGATATTTGACCAGAGGGAATGGATCCCGTGGATTGGGCAGATCACTAGAGGGAAAAAAATATCAACCACTTCCTCATCATTCTAATAAGTTTAGTATGTGGTCCCCTCCCCTCTATGAGGATTCTGTGAAAGGAATTATACAGTGACTGACTAACAATGAGAGACAAGATGGGGCTAACATGGCTGTCCTCCTACATCTAGCAGAAACATTTAAAATGATCTTAAGTAGTGGTTGAAAGGAAGAAATGACTGGGTGTCCCTCGTTTGTATTTCCGGTGTGCATGTTGAACAGATCTTAGACCCCATTCACACTGAGCTACATCCAAAAAAGCTGAGCGACATTGAACTACAGTGCACATTCTGTCGCGCTACGTGGCGCGACTTTTCGCAGGGACTTCGTAGCTGCTGCATTGGGTTGTAACCAATCAAAAGCGGTCTTGATGTGACTTCATTCCTTCCTTATATTTCTGTGCGAAAGTGACACTTCTGTAGTGCGACATTGAGCTACACCATTGTAGCCTATTGGGCCAAATCGCACAAAATCCGCCTACAAATGGGTCATGTTTGAGCTACAAGCGACATTGAGCTGTGAGATGTGAACAACTCCATTGAAATGCATTGGACGAGCTACATTGAGCGACATTTGAGCGATTTTGGAGCTGGAATCGCGAGATAAATCGCTCAATGTGAATAGGGTCTTAGTTACCGTGTTTCCCCGAAAGTAAGACCTAGCGCTATCTTCGGGGATTTCTGTAATATAAGACCTACCCCGAAAATGAGAATGCACTTTATTAGGAAGAAACTATTCTTTACAGGGCTCAATAGCTTAAGCACAAATAACATGCATCACCCTCCCCTTCCATGCCTGCTCTGTTCACTGGCAGCCTATATACCGATTCAGTTAGAGAGAGGTGGTCTTAAATCAAACCAACATATAAGCAGATTAAACTTCAGCTTTACGTTTGTGAACACATTTTAGTATACTTCAAGAGTGATATTATGACGTTAACTTTCAAGCTCAGCTTAGTAGAAATGTGCCAAATGTTCTGAGTGTAGAAATAGATTGGCAGATTAATTATTAGGTATTTTCGTCATTTTTTTCTTCATTGTGCCGGACGCCCAGGAACATGGCGTGTAACTGAGAACCTGGAAGGCTCGGGAGGACGGCAGGAAAGAAATGGCGTGTAATTGTCCCAAAATCGTATTTAATATCGGGCTAGATTGTTGTATAATTCATTGTAAAATTATAGTGGGAAGTAGATCATAAAACAAGAAGTCTATGATTAATTCATTAATTTATGGCGTGGACATAAAATCAGAAATGTCGTCCAAAATTAATTTTAGCCCAGAATTAAATGATGTGAAGTATGCAAGGAGGCCGTATATATTCCAGATACACGCGGAATTTATCCCTGGGTAATTAGAATAGATGAGAAGTCAGGGCTGTGACTGATCACTTTTCCATGTAAAATAATATTTCTGTCCGAATTTTATGAGCGCGGCTCAACGGTAGGTCAACATTTTTTTTTTCCTGAGCCAAAAAGTTTGAGACGTAACAGGCGGCTGGACATTCCCCCCTCCCCCACCTCACTTTTATTTTATGGTCAGTTACATTTTAAGGGGAAATATAATTATGTATCGTTGTTACATTTCTGAAGTGATGAATTGTTACAATGTTGCCTTTCTGCAAATCTTATTTATGAGCAAAATTATGAAAATCAGATCCTTCGCACAAGTTATACCAAACGCATTTAAGAAACATTGAAATTTTTTTAATTGAAACTCAAGTCATTTGTTTCTAGATGTACGGGAAAGAGACATGAAATAGGCAACAATATGCATTCATGTTTTGCAACCCTCCTAGCAAATATATATGCACACAGGGGAAGGTATGTTAACACCTTACTTTATGCGGGCTCTGCTTCCTTCTTAGCAGTTCTGTGCAGAACAATAAAGAATGGATTGTGCTTTACTGTTCCTCTTTCTCAGTGTAAGCCTATGGGTTATCAATGACTGGCTAAAGGAAACAGATGCTTTGTATGCCTGAGATTTTATCCCAGCGGTATTTAAGCTAAAGGGGCTTATGAGGGTGACTGATTGTTATATATACAGATAATGATATATTATGTATGCATACAATAGTGTCCTTATTCCTATCTCAACTGTCACTCTTTCTGTCTGCTCTGTCCCTCTTTCTCTCTCTACCGTCCCTCTTCCTCTCTCTTTACCGTCCCTCTTCCTCTCTCTTTACCATCCCTCTTCCTCTCTCTACCGTCCCTCTTCCTCTCTCTACCGTCCCTCTTCCTCTCTCTACCGTCCCTCTTCCTTTCTCTTTACCGTCCCTCTTCCTCTCTCTTTACCGTCCCTCTTCCTCTCTCTTTACCATCCCTCTTCCTCTCTCTACCGTCCCTCTTCCTCTCTCTACCGTCCCTCTTCCTCTCTCTACCCTCCCTCTTCCTCTCTCTACCCTCCCTCTTCCTCTCTCTAACGTCCCTCTTCCTCTCTCTACCGCCCCTCTTCCTCTCTCTACCGTCCATTCTCTTTACCGTCCCTCTTCCTCTCTCTTTACCGTCCCTCTTCCTCTCTCTTTACCGTCCCTCTTCCTCTCTCTTTACCGTCCCTCTTCCTCTCTCTTTACCGTCCCTCTTCCTCTCTCTTTACCGTCCCTCTTCCTCTCTCTTTACCGTCCCTCTTCCTCTCTCTTTACCGTCCCTCTTCCTCTCTCTTTACCGTCCCTCTTCCTCTCTCTTTACCGTCCCTCTTCCTCTCTCTTTACCGTCCCTCTTCCTCTCTCTTTACCGTCCCTCTTCCTCTCTCTTTACCGTCCCTCTTCCTCTCTCTTTACCGTCCCTCTTCCTCTCTCTTTACCGTCCCTCTTCCTCTCTCTTTACCGTCCCTCTTCCTCTCTCTTTACCGTCCCTCTTCCTCTCTCTTTACCGTCCCTCTTCCTCTCTCTTTACCGTCCCTCTTCCTCTCTCTTTACCGTCCCTCTTCCTCTCTCTTTACCGTCCCTCTTCCTCTCTCTTTACCGTCCCTCTTCCTCTCTCTTTACCATCCCTCTTCCTCTCTCTACCGTCCCTCTTCCTCCCTCTACCCTCCCTCTTCCTCCGTCTACCGTCCCTCTTCCTCCCTCTACCGTCCCTCTTCCTCCCTCTACCATCCCTCTTCCTCCCTCTACCGTCCCTCTTCCTCGCTCTACCGTCCCTCTACCGTCCCTCTTCCTCTCTCTACCGTCCCTCTTCCTCCCTCTACCCTCCCTCTTCCTCTCTCTAACGTCCCTCTTCCTCTCTCTACCGTCCCTCTTCCTCTCTCTACCGTCCCTCTTCCTCTCTCTACCGTCCCTCTTCCTCTCTCTACCCTCCGTCTTTCTCTCTCTACCCTCCGTCTTCCTCTCTCTACCGTCCCTCTTCCTCTCTCTACCGCCCCTCTTCCTCTCTCTACCGTCCCTCTTCCTCTCTCTACCGTCCCTCTTCCTCTCTCTACCCTCCGTCTTCCTCTCTCTACCCTCCGTCTTCCTCTCTCTACCGTCCCTCTTCCTCTCTCTACCGTCCCTCTTCCTCTCTCTACCCTCCGTCTTCCTCTATCTACCCTCCCTCTTCCTCCCTCTACCGTCCCTCTTCCTCTCTACTTTCCTTCCTCCATTCTCTACTGCCCCTCTTACTCTCTCTACTCTCCCTCTCTCTTTCTCTTTTCAGCCTTGATTATACTTCCCTTCCTTGACATATTAGTGGTCTTTTTTTTTACTCTGTTATTTGATGTCACTGCAACCAAAAAAAAGATTTTTACCTGCACATTAGAATCCAAAACTGGAGACGCACGCTGCGCACATGCCAAGTCTGTTGGACATAAAAATCAATTTTCTTTCCCATCTAAATGGAATAAGATTTGATTCAATGAGAATGTTCTGATCACATCTGATCCAAAAATTTCACAACAAAATCATCGCTTGAAATCAACCCACACACGAATCTGTGCGGTGGAAGCACATAAGGTCCTTCATAACGCTGTGTTGAGTAGACAACCTGGAACAGGAAACGGATGTGGTGTCAGTCTGCTTCCTTTATTAATACCTGGGTATTTTTTTTTTTTTTTTTTTGTGTGGGACGTTTTTAGGATTGGAATTACCCTTCATGGTGATGCCCCACCCCCTGCTGCCCGTCGGTCTACCTCCTGCATCTGTTGCCATGGCGATGAATCAGATGAATCACCTTAATACTATAGCAAATATGGCTGCGGCTGCACAAATGCACAGTCCTCTGTCTAGAGTGGGCGCTTCCGTCATCAAGGTAAGAACAATGGCCGAGCTGCGGAGCTGCACGCGTGCCAGGCACAGCTCACCCTCAGCAGCCCTTGTCTTCTGGCTGTGCTGTTACCTTGTTGCTATCATCTTATGATACAATGTTGCATGCATTAACCCCTGCAGCTCAGGGCCCTGCTTCTTGTTACTGCACCTCTCTGCACGTGACGTGCGCCGTGTGGTGATCTCTATGTTACCAGCGGGAAAATAAGCAGATTTCAGAGATAATTCCAGCAAATAGGAGAAGGCCCGACAGGAGATCAGTTATAGCATTAGAAACTAAAAAAATTGTATAAAAACTGGAATTCTGTGTAATATATCCATCGTTTTATTTGGCCCAGTGCATGTGTTCATTTAAAAAAAAATATTGTTTACTATATAATGGAAAAAAGGCACTTTTACCCCTTACGTTATTGTGAGAGCAGACCAGCAGTAGCTCATAATAACCAATTCATCAGGCTGGAGTCTGATTGGGTTCTCTGTCCACCTGGTCAAAAGTCTGTGTACACTTGACCATCACACCGACTGCGGTACTGACCCGATATTGGGTTTAGTGCGGTTGTCAGGCTGCAATTCCAGGTGGCGCCCTCAATCAATAGCGGAGAGTTTGTGATTTATGCATCATTGGCCGCAAAACACAAAATGCGAGTCAGGACTTAATGAGGGTATATTACTTCATAACACTATTAGTCACTTCTGGTTGAATGATAAAGGAAAATGAACAACTTCTGCTAGGCAGTCTCTAGTTATAACAAGCAGTACAACTCCAGTACATCTTATATAGACAATGCTTCATGGGATAATAGTAAGGTAGATTGAATGAACAGTGCCACAAGGTGACACACAAGATTCAGACTGTAGAGCTTAACAGCAAACCCCCTACAATAGCAGTTACTTGCCGTTAAGGGGAAGACCCCGATGGTTCCACGGTCCGAACACCTAGGTGTAGAGGCAGCTGCAAGTGGGAGAGGTTCCTAGATGAGTAGGCAGCAGGAATGGAGGAATGGAGGCTCCTGGAGTTGAATAGGGCATACAACTCAATAGTGGAACGCCCTACTAGCGTTCCGGAGTCCTTTAAATAGAAGGTGGACGCGGAAGTGGAGCCTCGCGGCTTGCCTTCACTTCCGCGTTCCAGGCTGCAACGCAACCGGCTCGGAGGATGGTTCCCGGGGGCGTTACATCGAGTGCAAGGCATATACCGACTCACATCCTCAGCTGTCGAGTGGTCATACCAATGAGTATCTTGTTCCAGCTCCAAAGCAATATCCACAAATGACAAAAGGACCGGTTGCACACTGAGCTATCCAGCGTTTATTGGGCTTGACATGTACTAAATGAAACCATACCTGGAACCTCCTCTTCTAATGCATTTCACCAGAGCATGGGCAAAATTCTCTACAATTAAGCCCATCTATGGGTGGAATGCATTTGAGAAGGAGGTGCTAGGTGGGACTTTTCAGGAGATGGTATGCAGCCAATCCTTTTGTGTGTGTAGGTATGTCTTAATGGAACCATCTTTGTGCAATGATCAGGCACTGATGTTGGATGAGAAGACCTGGCTCACAATTGGTGTTCCAATTCATCCCAAAGCCTTTCATTAGGGTTGAGGTCGGGACTCTGTGCAGTTCCTCCACACCAAACTGGTCACACCATGTCATTATGGAGCTGGCTTTGTACACAGGAGACAGTCATGGTGGAACAGAAAAGGGTCTTCACCAAACTGTGACCACAAGGCTGGAAGAGCACAATTGTCTACAATGTCTTTGTATGATGTAGAATTAACAGAACCCTTCACCGGAGACACCTGAACTCAATACACTGAATGGGGGGGGTCCTCATTTCTTTGACCAAACGGATAGGTGTGATGGCCAGGTGTCCATGTGCTTTTGATATATAATCACATGTGTATCTGTGCAAACTATGTGTGTGGTCAGTATTCAAAAATCAGTGTGATGGTCTACCTGACTGGTTTATTTAGTTAGGTCATACTTCATTATTGTGGACAAACTTTGGTTGGAGGAGAACAGTTGTCTACGATGTCTATGTATCCTCTACCATTAACTATACCCCTTCATTGGGAACACCTGAACTGAACCATTATGAAGTGGTGTTCACATGGTTTTGTCCATATAGACAAGTGTGATGGTCAGATGCCTGCAAACCTTTTAGCTATATATGGTCCAAACACTATATAACAATAATATTACTACCGTGTTTCGCCGAAAATAAGACACTGTCTTTAATTTTTTTGGGCTCAAAAAAAACACACTAGGTCTTATTTTTGGGTAGGTCTTATTTTTTTTTTTAATGTATAACAATCCAAAGTTAATGCAAATCCAAATTAAATAATCCAAAATGGCAAAGTTAAGAATGGGGTGATCAGGGCAATCAGGGGTGCCGTACCTTTCCAAGAGCAATTTGGTAACCAAAATGAGCGAAGCGCGCTTTCACTATCCATTCCTCACAGGCGGAGTGCATTTGGTGTCACTTCACCTGTGACAGGAGCCGGCGCTATAGAGGAAACATCGGCTTATGCTGCTCTGCTCCCTCCGCTGCCACCTCGCTTCCTCTAGCGCCGGCTTCGTTGGCACCGCTGATTCTCTCCCGCTGCTCTTCAAGTTCCCCCCTTATGCCACCACCGGCCCTGGGAATGGTCACAACTAGGTCTTATTTTTGGGGTCGGTCTTATATTTTAGCAATTCCACAAAATAGTACTAGGTCTGATTTTCGGGGTAGGTCTTATTTTCGGGGAAACAGGGGGTATAACCTATCTTGTAACAGTAGGCCCATACTATGCTAATGAAGTGTTCAGATTGTGCTGACTACCTTCCTTGGGGACCATAGACAAATCTGTATCTATGGAATGCTGGAGCTGTTCAGAGAGCATTCTGTAGACAGGGGCACATTCCATAGATAAGGAAGCCATGATATAAATGTCTGTATTGAGGACTGTGATTTATGTGCTTATGTAAAAGGAATGCTATGGATATACCTTGAAAGTTAGTAACAAAAACATTATCAATTGAGAGCACCTCGGCGCCAATACGTACACAACATTGAAAGCACAGCAATGATTTGGTTTGCCATCTGTGTGATCTTTTTAAATGTCCTCCATAGTGTATTAGGTCACTCTAGCCATCATTATAGTCCTCAGAGACGGGAGACTTTCTGGCTGCAAACCAAAAACAATCAAAAATAAAGAGCACTACATCCATTTTGTTGACGGTGACAACGAGGCATTGTTCTATAATGAAGCATGCAGCTGACAAACATTTTTACCGTCCGCCAACTTGCCCCCTGAAAATATCTGCAAGTCTTTCCTTGCGATCCAATAGCTTTGTGACTGTCAGTACTTACTGATAGGTGGGGAACGGGGGTAGCCATTCATAAGCTATTAGGGAAAATGGGAACTCAAGATGATCGGCCCATAGAAATGGCTGGAACCTGTTTCCAGAGACAATGTACATTGAAGCAAGGGGGGGAAACTGCAGCTCCAAACTTGATGAACCTTGGTGGGTAAATTTAGACTACTGCATTGTTATAAGAGTTTTGAGGCATTTTGTACGGGACGGGAAGTCACATGACCTGGGCATTATGTTGCTTCCTAAAACCTGGGCAGTGAAAATGATGGTCAGTGTATTTAACAATTTCTTAGCTTATACAAGCATTGCAGTAGCTTAAAAAAAAAAGGTGGCATCATGCACCAAGCGGCCCTTTCTTCTTTGTATGTTCCCAAGCACAATGCCTCATTCGAATGGCCGCAGGTAAAACAATTCTCTTTTTACACATTCAATCATTGTTTTCCTGAGCTGGGAAGAGCTGCAAAATGTTTGATAAAAACTAGTGCTGGAACTTCCGGTTCCGGCGCCCGATGAGCTAGACGTGTGCAGCATCGCTCCGTCCCGTACATTTATCGAGTACACTACCCGGTCCTCTCTAGCTCAGAGACTGCTGAATGCACCGGAACGAACCACCTGACGACATGGACAGAACTAGTGCTGCACCGAAACGAAAATTCCCTACACGAAACCGAAATATAAGAAAACGTCAGGCCGAAACCGAAAATGTTTTTTATTTGAACTTTTTCCAATTTTTTTGATATTTTATTTTTTATAAACTTTTTAATGTTTTAACCACTTCAAGACCAGGTGTTTAGACCCCCTTCTAAACACCAGACACGCGCGAGGGGGCGTGTCTGAGCGGACGTCTAGAGACGCCCGCTCAGATCTAGTGAGCTCCCGGCCGGCCGTTTTTCTACTACGGCCGGCCCGGAGGCAGTTAAATATTTATTTGTATTAATTTTTTATTCATTATTTTTTACTTTACTTTTAGGGGCTTCGGGGAAATATTAGAGGTCTAAACAGACCCCAGATATTGCCTTTTTAAAATAGAAAAAGAGATGGAGGACACAGAGTCCTCAGAGACACGCAGAGCCCTCAGAGACACACACAGTACACGCAGAGCCCTCAGAGACACGCAGAGCCCTCCGAGACCTCCGAGACACGCACAGCCCTCAATCTCTCTTGCTGTAGCCCCTGTTATAAATGAACAGGAATCCTCTATACTGAGTGTTCATTGTTTACTATAACCACAATCATGAATGAAGAGGAGGAGGAGATGTAGATCACTTCCCATTCATTCATAATTGGGGATATAGTAACCATACTCTGTCCTCAATTATGTACAAACACTCACCGATCACTGACTGCTTGTACCCGCTCTCCATCCTGACAGCTGTCACAGGAGGCTGAGCGAGCGGTGTGGGAGGAGAGACGCCGGCCGCTCACAGCGCTCTCCTCCCGCAATGCTCGGCCTCCTGTGACAGTTTCTCTCCTCCCACACAAAGCAGCGCCCAGCGTGGAGGAGAGGACAAACGGATGCACCGCTGTATCCGCCAGAAAATGGCACTTTCGGCATTATACCAAAAGTGCCATTTTCGGCCGATATGTTTCGGCGGCCGATATATTGGTGCAACCTTAGTAAAAACTC